TAGTTTCTCTCCCATGATGATTCTGCACTGGACCACGGACTGCTCTGACCAACAGACTGGCAGAAGTGATGCTGTACCAGCTCAAGGCCCAGCCCTTAAATGGACTAGCATTTCTTCCCTCTTGGAACACTTGTTCTTAGAAGTTCTTTCTGGCCGGGCACGGTGGCTCAAGCCTGTAATCCCAGCACTGTGGGAGGCCAAGGCGGGTGGATCACGAGGTCAAGAGATCGAGACCATCCTGATCAACATGGTGAAACCCCGTCTCTACTAAAAATACAAAAAATTAGCTGGGCATGGTGGCGCGTGCCTGTAATCCCAGCGACTCAGGAGGCTGAGGCAGGAGAATTGCCTGAACCCGGGAGGCGGAGGTTGCGGTGAGCCAAGATCGCGCCATTGCACTCCAGCCTGGGTAACAAGAGCGAAACTCCGTCTCAAAAAAAAAAAAAGAAGTTCTTTCTTTGCACTAATCCCTTATTCCACTATGCACCATTAGCAATAATTCAGATCAGTTTCTATGAAATCTACTCACAAATGCTACCATGATCCCCTTGAACTCAAAATAATTTTTCCCACTAAGTCCCTGAAGTATTTTTGTACCTCTCAAAAAGTAATAGTCTACCAGGTATTAAGAGCATAGTTATTTCATTCATTTATTTAATGTTTAATGGCACAATGCATCAGACATTGTTCTAAGTGCTGACAATAAAGTTAATAATCTATATGCCATTCTATATGCTAGACATCAATCTAAATACTTTTCTAGGTTTTCTCGGTCTTCAAGAATTCTAAAAGTATCTTCATTTTGCCGGGCGCGGTGGCTCACGCCTGTAATCCCAGCACTTTGGGAGGCCGAGGCGGGTGGATCACGAGGTCAAGAGATCGAGACCATCCTGGTCAACATGGTGAAACCCCGTCTCTACTAAAACTACAAAAAATTAGCTGGGCATGGTGGCGCGTGCCTGTAATCCCAGCTACTCAGGAGGCTGAGGCAGGAGAATTGCCTGAACCTAGGAGGCGGAGGTTGCGGTGAGCCAAGATTGCGCCATTGCACTCCAGCCTGGGTAACAAGAGTGAAACTCTGTCTCAAAAAAAAAAAAAAAAAAAAAGTATCTTCATTTTACATAAGGAAACTGAGGCAAAGAGAGGTTAAAAAACTTGTCAAAGATCATACTGCAAGTGGTGGAGTCAAAATACAAACCCAAACATTCTGACTCCAGAGTTTATGCTATCAACTACTATTCTAACCTGCCTTGTACAGATGTGAACAAGACGAATAGCCCTGTTCTCATGGAACATGCATTACATCAGTGATGGTTAGTGGTATGGGGAAAGAGTGGTAATAGATGATATATGTAAATCAACAAAATTACTCCAGAGAGTGAGAATGCTCTGAAGTAAAACTGTGATGTGTTAGTGATGTGCAGTTACTTTAGACAGGGCAGTCAGAGAAGGCCTTTCTGAGAAGGTAACGTGGGAAAAGTCCTAACTATCAGCAAAAGCAGAAGAGCAAAGCAAAGACCTGGAAAGAAAACTTCAGGTAAAGAGAATAGCCAGTGAAGAAGTCCTAAGACACAAATAATCTTAGCATGTTTCAGGAACAGAAGTAAAGCCAATATGGCTGAAAGATGGTGCTAGGAGGGGAATGAAATGAGGTTGGAGAAATTAGCTGAGGCTTATATCATGCAGGGCTTTGTAGGCCACGTTAAGTCATTGGATTTCTTTTTTTTTTTTTTTTTTTTGAGACGGAGTCTTGCTCTGTCATCCAGGCTGGAGTGCAGGGTGCCATCTTGGCTCACTGCAACATCCGCCTTCTAGGCTCAAGCTATTCTCCTGCCTCAGCCTCCTGAGTAGCTGGGACTACAGGCGCCCGCTGCCACATCAGGCTGATTTTTGTATTTTTAGTAGAGACAGAATTTCGCCATGTTGGCCAGGCTGGTTTCAAACTCCTGGCCTCAAATGATCCACCTGCCTCAGCCTCCCAAAGTGCTGGGATTACAGGCATGAGCCACTGCACCCAGCCAAGTAATTGGATTTTACTGAGTAACAATGGAAGGTTCTAAGCAGGGTAATGACATGACCTGACTTACATTTTTGAAAGTTAATTCTGGCTGTTGCATACTTAATCAATTCTAGAAGGTCTAAAAGGAAGCAAGGAAAACAACAGGAGGCAACTGCAATAGTCCATGCAGGAAATTATGGATGTGGAGATTGAACCAACAGGATTTGCTAAGGGACTCTATATGGGAAGGAATGAAATGAATCATGGATGGCTCTAACCTTCTGGACATATACAGTGGAATAAATGGTGATATTAATTACTGAGGTGGGGAAGATAGAGGAGGCCCAGGTTGAGAGGGTGACAATCATGTATTGGATGTGTCTTTTTTTTTTTTTTTGAGAGGGAGTCTTGCCCCGTTGCTCAGGCTGGAGTGTGATGGTGCAATCTCAGCTCACTGCAACCTCCACCTCCCGGGTTCAAGTGATTCTCCTGCCTCAGCCTCCCAGGTAGCTGGGATTACAGGCGCTCGCCGCCATGCCCAGCTAATTTTTTGTATCCTTAGTAGAAATGGGGTTTCACCACGTTGGCCAGGCTGGCCTTGAATTCCTGACCTCATGATCCACCTGCCTTGGCCTGCCTTGGCCCGCCTTGGCCCGTCTCGGCCTCCCAAAGTGCTGGGATTACAGGCGTGAGCCACTGTGCCAGGCTGGATGTGTCATTTTGGAACTACCTATTCCAATATTCAAATGGAAATATCAGATGCTAGATATGAATCCAGAGATATAAATTTGAAAGTCATCTCATATTTATGGCAACTACACCTAGGATCAGTGGAGAGAGAAGAAAAAAGAACAGAACCTCAAGTTTCTGAGCACTTCAACATTTAGAAGCCAAGCAGAGAGGAAGCAAGTACATTACCCTGTCACCCTTCCAGATCACAAGTTCTTTAAGAGGCAAGGCAGTGTTTTCTTCATTTTTGTGGCACCCTGCAGAACTTAGCTGAGAAACAGAAACTCAGAGATGGCCAGTACATTTTAATGAGTGAATGCATGCTTGTCACTTGATTTCTCAAGCTTTCACTGCAGAAATATAATAACTCAAGGAGATACAGGCAACACTGCTTCACAATTGTAGCCACTTAAACATTTGTTTAATGAATGAAAGAAAACTGTGTTTTGGTAGACATATTTTAGTACTCATTGTTGTAGAGAACAGAGCAAGGAAAGGAAGAAACAAGCAGTAGCCTATATCCCCACACTGCTAACCAATGAAAATCACAAACTTACCCTTCATCTTGGTCCTAACTACAGGGTAGAAAGGGAATGGCACTGGAGGCTGCAACAGGAAGAAAGGGGCTTCCAATTCCCACAATGAAGCAGAGTTCTGGCTTTCATGATATAAGCATGTATTAAGCAGCAACTATATGCCGTGGATTAAAGTAAATACTAAGTACTATAAGTATAACAGCAAAACAGATAGGGTTCTTCAAATAACCTCCGTTCTGAAGAAGAAGATATGTATTACGTAAACACCACATAAGTATATATTCCTTCTTTTTTTTTTTTTTTTTTTTTTGAGACAGAGTCTCGCTCTATCGCCAGGCTGGAATGCAATGGCGCAATCTTGGCTCACTGGACACTCCGCCTCCCAGATGCAAGCGATTCTCCTGCCTCAGCTTCCTGAGTGGCTGTGATTACAGGCATGCGCCACCACATCCAGCTAATTTTTGTATTTTTAGAAGAGACAGGGTTTCACCATGTTGGCCAGAGTGGTCTCGATCTCTTGACCTTGTGATCTGCCTGCCTTGGCCTCCCAAAGTGCTGGGATTGCAGGCGTGAGCCACCACGCCCAGCCATAAATACCTATTTCTAAGAATATTAAAGTAAAATAAAATATTCTGTGAAAACATACACTGTTGCACAAAGCAACAAGGGGTGGGGGTTGAAAATACTACAGGTTTCTCACATGAGATACCTTAACAAGTCAGGCTGGGAGGTGGGGATAGGGTGAGAGTTATCTAGATGAAGGTAAGACCATGTAGGAAGGAATTTAGAATAATCCAAAGAATTTAATATGGGCCAGTGCTAGGCATGGCGGCTCATGCCTGGGAGGCCAAGGCAGGAAGACTGCTTGAGGCCAGGAGTTCAGGACCAGCCTTGTCAACTAGCAAGACCCCACCTCTACAAAAAATTTAAAAAGTAGCCAGGTGTGGTGGCACATGTCTGTAGTCCCAGCTACTTGGGAGGATCACTTGAGTCCAGGAGGTTGAGGCTGCAGTAAGCTATGTTCACACCACTGTACTCCACCCTGGGCAGCAGAGTTAGACCCTGTCTCAAGAAAAAATAAAAAAGAAAATAAATTTAAAAAAATAGGTCAGAGCTGGGCGCGGTGGCTCAAGCCTGTAATCCCAGCACTTTGGGAGGCTGAGGCGGGTGGATCACGAGGTCAAGAGATCGAGACCATCCTGGTCAACATGGTGAAACCCCATCTCTACTAAAAATACAAAAAATTAGCTGGGCATGGTGGCACGTGCTTAGTAGCTGTAATCCCAGCTACTAAGGAGGCTGAGGCAGGAGAATTGCCTGAACCCAGGAGGCGGAGGTTGCAGTGAGCCGAGATCGCGCCATTGCACTCCAGCCTGGGTAACAAGAGCAAAACTCCGTCTCAATAAAAAAAAAAAAAAAAAAAAAAATAGGTCAGTACCCAGCAATCCCATTACTGGGTATACCCCCAAAGGATTATAAATCGATCTATTATAAAGACATGTGCACACGTATATTCACTGCGGCACTGTTTACAATAGCAAAGACTTGGAACCAACCCAAATGACCATCAAAGATAGACTGGATAAAGAAAATGTCGCACATATACACCACAGAATACTATGCAGGCATAAAAAAGGAAGAGTTCATGTCCTTTGCAGGGACATGGATGAATCTGGAAACCATCATTCTCAGCAAACTAACACAAGAACAGAAAACCAGACTCTGCATGTTCTCACTCATAAGTGGGTATTGAACAATGAGAATACATGGACACAGAGAGGAGAGCATCACACACTGGGGTCTGTTGGGGGTTGGGGGGCTAGGGCAGAGATAGCAGGGGGTGGGAAGACTGGGGAGGGATAACATTAGGAGAAGTACCTAATGTAGGTGACCGGGGGATGGAGGCAGCAAACCACCATGGCATGTGTATACCTATGTAACAATCCTGCAAGATCTGCACATGTACTCCAGAACTTAAAGTAAAATTTAAAAAAAATTAATTAATTAAAAAAAAAATAGGTCAGGGCCGGGTACAGTGGCTCACACCTGTAATTCCAGTACTTTGGAAGGCCGAGGTGGGCGTATCACGAGGTCAAGAGATTGAGACCATGCTGGACAACATGGTGAAACTCTGTCTCTACTAAAAATACAAAAATTAGCCAGGTGTGGTGGCATGTGCCTGTAGTACCAGCTACTCAGGAGGCTGAGGTGGAAGAATCACTTGAACTCGGGAGGCAGAGGTTGCAGTGAGCCAAGATTACGCCACTGAGCTCCAGCCTGGCAAAAGAGCAAGACTCCGTCTCAAAAAAGAAAAGAAAAAAAAATAGGTCAGTAAATGCAGAGCCATACAGGGCACATACAGAGAGAGAGAGAGGGAGAGAGAGAGAGGGAGACAGAGAGAGGGAGAGAGAGACAGAGAGAGAGAAAGAGTGAGAGAGAGTGAGAGAGAGAGAGAGAGAGAGAGTGTGTGTGTGTGTGTGTCAGGCTCTCACTCTGTTACTCACACTGGAGTGCAGTGGCACCACAACTCACTGCAACCTCCACCTCCCAGGCTCAAGCCATCCTTCCTCAGACTCCAGAGTAGCTGGGACCACAGGTGCACACCACCATGCTCGGCTAATTTTTTAAATTTATTTATTTTTTGTAGAGATAGGGTTTCACCACATTGCCCAGGCTGGTCTCAAACTCCTGGGCTCAAGCAATCCTCCCACCTCAGCCTCCTAAAGTGCTGGGATTACACGCACAAGACGCCACACCTGATCACATTACAGATTTTTAAAAACTTGACCCTGATACATAGGAGTAGCTATGGAAAGGGTTTAGGCAAAGGACCAAGAGCAAACTGGTAGATCTGTTAAAAATCACTCAATGGTATAAGAATGAATTGAAGGAAGGAAAGAAAAGGTCCAAGATGACTAAGTTAGGAAGCTACTGCAGTAAAAAATAATGGTGGCTTGGATCAGCTGGAGCAGTGGATACAAAAGAAGCAGAGAGTTTTAAGACATTAGATTCAAAAGCGGTAGGGCTTCGTTACTGAGCACACATAACTCCCCGGTTTCTGGCCTGGGCAACTAGGTGGACAGAAGTATGACTTACTGAGATGGGCCTCACTAGGGAAGCAGAGGTGTGATGGGTGGGGAAAGCATATCATTAAGCTTAAGTAAAAGGTCAAAGAGGTAGTTGGTTATGTGACCAGGTCCTTAGAAGAGTCTGCTTAAATATGGGCAGCTCCACCAAGATAGTATTTAAAAGCATAGACATGGATGTGAGTCCTAAGGAAAAAGCAAGGAATTAACAAGAAATTTTATCAATTCCAAGCCCTGAGGAAACAGTAACTTGCAGAGATGAGAGAGGAGTAAACACCAGTGAAGAACAGGAAAAAGCAGTGGGCCAGAAAAGTAGGAGAAAGCCAGGAAAGTGGAGTGCTATGGAAGTGAAAAGGAATATATTTCAACTACGAAATGGTCATCGGTGACAAAGAACACTGAATTAAGGATAATAATGATGCTTAAGTTTCCAGGCCCGCTCGCAGAAGCTCATTTCACATATAGGTGGATTACAGCATTCCACTATCTTACCATAAAGCAGTGCAGTAGTACACTGGTTAACACCTAGGCTCCAAACCCATAATGCCCAGGTTTCAATCCCAGCTCCACTATACTAGCTTTGTAGCTGTAGGTATAAATTACTTCACTTCTCTATGCCTCAGTTTCCTCATCCATAAAAGGAAGCTATAAAGAATGCTTACCTCAGGATTTCTATAATGAAGTTTTATAAATGAGTGTATGCATTTGTGACTTCAAACAGCTAGCACAAATTAGTTGCTCATGAGGTAAATGACAGCTACCATTACTTACAATATGGTTTCCAAGGGAAAAACCTTTCTGAACTCTAACAATGGAAGTTTGTCTGAAATAACCTTTCATTAACTTCAGATTTTTCTTACTCCTTACAAATTGGGATCTACAAGGCCTTTTTCCAAAAACCTTGAGGAAAACTCAGATTTGGAATGTATCAAACAAATATCCACCATATAGAAACTGACCGATTTTAAAAGAGCTAATCGTTACTTGGGTTTTTCAGAAGAGTACTTATCATACTCTATACAACATACTAAAAAAAAAAAAAAAGTATGCATTAGGAATTCTAAAAACTGGTGCCAAAAATTCTTTCAAGTTAGAAGGGCAAAAAACAAATGTAAAACTATTTAAATACAAAATATTTCCATTCTATTACTTTCTGGTGCACATTCAAATACAAACATATCAATTATCACTGTAAAATGGCCTGGCTTTGCTGCTGTAACCAAGATATAAGTATCACGCACAGAACAGGGCAGTGGATCTGCAGGTTCCTGATGACCTTATTTCCCAAGCTAAGCAAAGGTATTTACAACAACCAAAACTGCACCCCAAAAAGTATTTCCAAATTCGTGGTGTTCAGCAAAGGACATGTTCACTTGGTTCCTAAAACTAACTGAAAAAAGCACAAAAATGAAGATTTATACAGCCAGTCCTTATCCATGCACTTTCTAAGTATCTAGCAAGTAGTCTGAGAAATATTCAAAACTCTCTCTACATGTCCTATTTAAGGTAAAATCCTGGAGTTTCCCACTGTTTTTCAACTGTTAATACAGTAAAATTACCTAATAACTAACAGAGCTCTGTATTCAAAAATGTATTGTTTCAAACTCATGAAAAACTGTTTATTATGTACCTTCCAGTCAACTTATGAAAATGATGTATTTCAAGACCAAGAAGGCATAAAGTAGGATGTCAGATCCATGTTGGCAACGACTGAATGTCATTACCATCTGTCAGCTTCTGAATAGGTTACAGGAAACAAGGTGACAGACAGGCTAATTCTTTATGGATAAGTATCCGTATTACATCATCACAACTAGTACTCATTTGCACCTTCAGAAGAAACTGCCACAAAGGGGAACAAAAACATTCAACTGATACATGAATTATGAAAAAAGGATTTTAAAATGTTATAAAAATATAAATAAGCTTCTGAGGTGCAGAATATTTAGACTTACAAGCATATTTCAGATTTGGTATTTTTGATACAACTGAAATCAAAGAGGAATATTTGCACAATTTGAGGAATAAAATGAGGTATAATTCATAAGTGTGTGCAACTCTGTACAGATGGCCTGATCCCAACACAAGATGTTAACAAAGCAGGGTTGGCGGGGGGTGGGTAAAACTGAATTTTCTATGCTGTAATTTAGCTGATTCCTACCCCACCCCGCCCCATTTTTTTAAAAAGCAGGAGACGGCATGGGGGGGTAACATTTAAGATTCAATAACTTCCAGTAAACAAATTAAATCTCCTTTAGATTATGTGTGCCAAATGAATCTACTTACTGTTTTCAAATGTGTTTGGGAAGTCATTCCATGTTACTCTGATAAATAACATTTGGAAAATACAAGTAGATTTTAGTTTCTTGCCTCAGAAGTATCCTACTAAAAGAAGTGACTAGGTGGTATTTCCGTTTCATTTACCTAATAAAATATTTTTCATTTAAAGGATAAAAAATGCGGCACAAATACCTATCATGCTGTTCAATGATGAGAAAGTAATTTTAATTTGTAAATTATCCTAGTCAATGCAAAAAGCTACTTGAAAAAGGATAGTCAAATTACCATCAAAAAGAAATAATGAGTGGAAGTGCCAAACGTCTTTCATAAAACTCCTTAAAATGGCTTACTTGTATGTAATACAAAATAATGGCTATTTCTGAAAGGTTTCAGCATTTAATTACTTAGCTCCAAATTGGTACATCATATTATTTTTGCTAACTCCCAGATCTTTCAAACAAAGGGCCTAAAATTTTCTAAGAAAGCTTATATCCCTATTCTTGAAGCAAATTTTTCTCATTCTTTCACAATCATCCCAATGGACAATCTAAGACAAAGACCAGCTACTCTTCACACTTATTTCCTCAATCATGAACGTAGAACTTTCATCAAAACAAAGAAGATAACCTGGAACACAGTAATGTATAAAGTTAAAAAAAAAAAGTTCACTTCTGTCGTGAAAAATAATGAAGAAATCTAATGAGATCATAAAGCCACGAAGCTTCCTGTTGGTAGCTGAGGATGAAGTCATTAGCAACCCAGGATTCCCTGGTCCATGTAATCAGAAGCTGCACCTACCAGATTCTGTATTGTTCGGGAGAGGTGGCTTTAAAACAACCCGCTTACCAAACCTCCAAACAAGACCACGCCTTCCAGTTATCATTCAAATGGGACCGTTTCACCGTGTGGCACCACTACACATTTCCCGCGAGCTTAAATATCAAGCAGCAGTCAACATTTTAGATTCCCTTGGTCATGCTGCAGGAAAGATGAACTCTTGAACCCCGCGCTACCTAATGCACCCGGGCTTTAGAGGCCGAGATGGGGGAACATGCTTTGGTTCTCCAACCTTTATGGCCTTCACTACCCTCACCCCTACCCCCACCCCATTTCTTCCCAACTCTCCGTCACCCCGAGGAACAGAAGGCAAAGAGAGATTCCTTACTTCCTGCTGTTGTTAAGAGGGGAGGAAACCCAAGAACAACTTTGAACGCGTGGAAGAGAAATCGCCTAAATCTTGGCCACCAGCGCAAACATATGTCACCTGGTCCTGGAGCCGGCGTTCGCGCCCTGCCGAGCCCCCTCTCCCGCCCCGCTCCCCCGGGATTCTCCCGTAGCCCAGCGCTCCCGGGTCCCCCGGTGTCTCTGGAACTTGGCTCCGCGACTCTTCCTCTCCCGCCTCCTCAAC